CTTTCACCTTAAGAAACTAGAAAAAAGTGTAACCAGAATGATAGGGACAAATTAATGAAATGAGAAGTGGAAAATGATAGAAAAAATCAGTGAACCAAGTGCTTATTTTGTGAGACGTTAAAAAAATGAAAAGAATAAACCTCTAGCCTGGAAAAAAAAGAAATAACCAGTCTCGGGAATAGAAGGGAAGGCATCAGTCACTGTAGGGTCCACAGACACAGGCCAGGAAAGGGATTCTATGAATAGCTATATGTCCATAAATAACTTAGATGAGGTGAACAAATTTTGTGAAATACAGAAATTTTACCAAACTGTTCTCAAGAAGAAATTCATAACTTGAGTAGTCCTATATATATCATGAAACTGAATTTATAGTTTATATGTTTCCTACAAAGAAAATTGTAGGCTGAAAGAACCTCATGGGTGAATTGCATCAAACAGTCAGGAAGAAACACTAAAACCTGGTGAATTCCTACGGAGAATAGAAGATGACACATTTGGTAACTTCCCATGAGATCTTATTTCTTTGGTACCAAAGCCAAATGAAGCACTGCAGGAAAAGAAAATAAGAGATCAATATTTCTGATGAGTATAGATGCAAAGATCCTTAATAAAATGGTAACGAATCAGTTCCAGCATTGGGTAAACAGGGTTGCACACTGTAAGTGTGAGACATCTGCACATGCCAGGCTGGTCCAAAATCCGTCAGTTCATCCATCAACCCCCAAAGTACCCCAGCACACTGAATGAGAAAAGCTGAGTATCCTCTCAATCCATGCAGATGTGGAGAACCACTCAGACTGCTTCAAAGCTCAGAGATGTCCAGGGTCACCTAAGGACATGAGACCCCACTTGTCTAGCACAGGCGCACAGCGGGATACAGTTATGTGACCATGACTCCGCACAGGTGGACACACCTGCACAGGTTAGAGCACTATGTAAGAATGTAACTGTGTGCTAATGACCTGTGTAAAAATTAGACAATGACATAGGTGGCCTGGCTCTTGCTCTGCTCTGCCCCATGCCGCCTGCTGTTGCTGATGTCTTGCACACAGGTGTTCTTTAACCTTGGGACCTCGCCTGCAAAAGTCTCTGCTGGCCACCCAGGAGGTCTGTACAGACCAAGAATTGGATGAAATTAAATTTAATCCATGATTAAAAAAAAGAAACAAAACAGAAAACTAGGGATAGAGGGAGCTTCTTTAGCCTACACAGAGAAGCTCTTAGAAACAGTTGATGCCCTGTCCAGTGATGGACAGAAGGACAGAAGGAATCCCTGCTTCCTCCTTCCACTCCGGGATAGCGAGCATGTGTGTGCTCTCCATGTTATCTAGGATTTTATTTGAGGTTCTGGGTGTCACCATAAGGCAAGGAAAAGAGAAATACACAAAGATTGCAAAAGAAGAGACAAAATTTTCTTTATTTGTGGATGACATTGTGGTCTAGAAAAGACCAAAGAATCTCCCACTAACTGGCCTCAAGTGTAGCCCCAGTTTGTTTAGGCCTGGGTCCTGAAGGACACGATGTGGTCTCAGTTGCTATAAAGCCCATGGCAATCTCTGTCTCCATCTCTGGAGTAACATAGAGACAAGAGAAAAACAGTGGGTCTTGGGAAACGTGTGCATTTTAAACCCTCACCATGGGAGAACTTACGGAAGGCCAGGCTCCCTGGCAACATGTTGAGCTCCAGGTTGTGTGCTGTGTGTTCTCTGGGCCCTGTCTGCACAGGGAAGGGTAGGTTGGGGAGGCCGAGGCCCCACAGATCCAACACTCACCCATTCCCGGATAGGGGGGCTGGAGGATTCATTACGGGTTAAGCAGGTAGCAGCCAAACAGGATGACCCACATTAGTAGGTGAAAACAGGCTGTGGCCTCTCTGCGTTGGCAGCTCCCCTTAGAACTGGTCTTACAGCTCGGAAAGGGCTTTGTGTCCGATCCTTCTGCACCGTCTGTCCAGCATAGTGAGCTATAGTCTCCATGAGGAAGACTCCCCGGCTTTCCCCAGCTCCCTGCTGCTGCTGCTTAAACTAGGCATGTTGGCCCAGGGCTCTTGAGGGGCCATCTGCGGGGAGGCACCTGATAACCGGAAGTGAGTGAAACCTCGCCTGCGCTCTGACTCAGTGATCCGAGCAGGTGTGTGCGAAGCAGCGTGCTTCCCTCAGGGGCCCTAGAGGGCAGAACAGCGGAATGTGCAGATGGGATCAGAGGTGGGATGGTTCCGGGGCCCACCTGCAGGCTGCAGAGCGGGGCCCCAGGAGCTGCCCAGTCCCAGGGCTGGAGACCTCAGAGCAGAGGAGGTGCAGAACCACGAGTGTGGGCCACAGTCAGGGGTTACGGAGCTGCAGTCTGACCCTCCGCTGGCCGCACTTGGTGGCTGCAGTCGGAAAGCCTGTCCTCTTACTCTGGGTGTTTTCCATTAAGGCCTTTGTCCTGGAAGGGGCGTGGAGAGGGCTGGCAGGGCACATAGTTCACTGCTGACAAGTAAAATGTTTTCAGATGTTGCTTGCAGGGAAAAATGCTCTAAGTCACAGAAGGAGTGGGTCCCCAGAAGCCACTGCCTTCGGACCCTGTTAGGGTGACGGCTTCCCGCAGTGACACCCAGCTGCAGGGACTGTTCCCACCCGGGGGGAGCAGTGAGCCTAGGACCTCGTCCCCCACGGTGTCCATGGCTTCTGGCACCGCTTGTGGCTCTGAACCTGCAGCTGGCTCCTGTATCCTCCAGTGGGGTTTGCATTAGGGGGGGTGAGGTCAGCTCGGAGGGTGAGACCGCACTGCAGAACAGATGGACAGCACCAATGAACAGCAGCAAGAGTACAGCTGACAGGCTGGGGACTCGGAGGGTGTCAGAATTATTAAAAAGTACACACATATCCCTGAAATCTGTTTGATTTAGGTATATTCTCAAAAATACATAACTTGAATGTATTTATGCTATGCATTTTTATTAACATGTTATACATACGGTCCTTATTTATGGGCTGCAGTATGCTAATTCAGTGCCTCCGTACAATGTGTGATGTTCATTAGGGGTGATAAGCATTTCCGTCCCTCACGCAGTCATTTGGGTGTACTCTTCTCCTTGAGTTATTCTGAGTACAGTCCAGCCTTGGTTTAGGAGCATAATTCACTCCAGAAACATGATTGCAACCCGAAGCACTTGCATATCAAAGCGAATTTCCCCATAGGAAACAATGGAAACTCAGATAATTCATTCTACAACCCAAAAAAACTCACGTGAAAAAGATTACTGTCCTGTAATTTCATATAAAATGATAAAGAACGCACAAAATGTAAAGAAAAATAAATACATTAGCCTGCGTTCACCTTTGAGAAGCTCCGTGGCTGGTGTGAGGGGTCCAGGAGAAAGGAGGGTCGCTGTGCAGCGTGACTTTCTCTGTCGCTAATGGAATTGCTGCTTCTATTGGCTCAGCGGAAACTTTTGGTTGTTGCGCAACTTTTAGAGGGAATCTGACCAACAACACCTGTTTTGGCCTCCTTTGAGGATTTCCCTGAATTGGGACGCTGCGTCATCGGTGTGAAGCAGGCTCACTGCTTGCACAGCCACAGCCTTACTCAGGGGTGCTTTGCTGCACAATTTTGTGTTTTCCCACATTTCCCTAATCTTGTTAGAAGTGAGGGATTCCTCTTCCTTTTTCTTCTCCTCCTCTGCAGAAGAGATCTCCCCATAGCCTCCTGCTGTTGGAGATGGCCACTCACAATTCCTCGTAGGAAAGGGGGGGGGCAGAGAGGGAGGGAGGAAGGGAGAGAGAGAGACCACGGCCCAGGTGTGGTCACGTGACTCAGTGTCATGCACTACTCGCATCGCAAGACACTGCCCATTTATTAAGTTAAATTTTAGCGGAAACATTTGTTTATCTTGAGGAGCTCCGCAAAATAGTGGCTCACAGTCTGTAGAGTAGGTCACTGCGGCTCTGCTGCCCAGCTCCGCTGCAGAACGCTGGAACATATTCCTCCCAGCCCAGTGTATCTGTGCCTCTTACCCCTGCTCTCTGCACCGGCCCTCCTCAGCCCAGTGACCGTTATTCCCTCACTTCGATGTGACTCACTTACTCAGTTCCGCAAGCCCTCGAGGCCCCAGGAGTCTGTCTCTCTGTGCCTACTTGTCTCACTTAACTGAGGTCCCACATTCCATCCACATCAAACAAATTCCATATCATTTCCTCTGGCTGAAGAAGGGAATCCTGACCGAAAGACATTACGAGTGAATCTTTCAGCGATCACAAAACTGCATGAACACAAATTCGGTTTTAGTGGATCCTCAGATGATGCAGCTGTGAGCGTGTGGTGCTGTCTCTTCTGAAGTCACTCTGCTCTGGGCACCTGGGAGACTGCAGAGCCTGGCTTCTGTTGGGGAGCAAGTGGGTGTCTGTTGGTGCAAGCACACTCAGAAGCCCCACCCTAGCGTGCTACAGACTTCCTCCTACCCCTTCCACATGCCCAGCCTACTGCTCGGGTTTCTCACCATGTCCTTCATGAGTCCAGGCATTAGCTGGCCTGGAGACCGGATCCCTGAAGAGGTTAGACAGGGTCCTGGGAAGATGAGCAGAAAGCAAAACTTCAAAGCTCTCTGCTCCATTTTTCACCCTTCTTTTTCTTCTTCAAAGAAAACCCACATTTCTGGTGGAACATTGGATGGGGGTCTCCCATGGGGAGATGGTGGGTGTCCTGGGGTAAGGAGGAAATGCTGCCAGGGGCCCGTAGCCCACACCTAGAAGTAGACTCTGCTTCTAGATCCACTTCCCCAGCTCCTGGCCGGTTCTATCCAACACCACACACACACACACACACACACACACACACTTGTGCCCATTTACCCCGTGTTAGCTTCCACTTTCCACTGAGTCATGCTGGCAGATGTCCCTGGAAGGACCATGGTCTGCTGTGAGTGAAGCTGCTTGCTAATGCCACGCCTGCCTTGCCTCCCGGGAAAAAGTTCTGCTCTTCTTAGTGGAAGGCTTAGCCCTTATCTGTAAACCTGTCTCATTTATCTCACTATCTCTCTATGTCTATCTATCTCCTATTTCCCTACCGTCCATCTCTCTCTATCTGTCTATCATCTCTGTCTCTCTATGTCCATCTGTCTGTCCGCCTAGCTTGTAAAAAGCGTGGACAGGACAAGCCTCTGAAGTCACCACCCTGCTGAACACCAGGGTTACAGTGACATGCAAGGCGTCCTGTGTCTCAAGGCCACCGCCGCCTTTGGCTGCAATAGAGAAGCATTCTGCAGCCACCGAAATAGAGACCTGTTTGGTCAGGGTGAGCGTGTGGAGGGGGATTGGCTGGCAAAGAGGAAGACGGAGTTCCAGGCGGCTTCTAGGCCTGTGACCCAGCTGTGTGAGTCAGCCAGGGAGCAGGAGTGACAGATAGTGATGGAAGGGCAGCACAAGTGCGGAGAAGACTCTTCAAGCTGCAAGTGAAGGACCTGTGCAAAGGCACCGAGGTATTGGAGACCACGGCCTGAGAACCATGGGCGCTTCTGGTCCACGGACTTGCGGGATGGGGAGAGGAAGTGAGGCTGGAGGGTGCGGGGTTAGAAGGGTCCTGTGGCGGAGGTGGATAAATGAACATGTTTTTCTCCTGTGTTAGAGTCCTCTAGAGGACCAGCATCACTGGAAATGTATGCATAACTTAGCAGCTTGCTTACAGGAGGGTCCAGGAGGCTGCTGGAGAGCCAGAGGGCCGGGGCTGCTTGGCCCAGGAAGTTGGAACAAGGAGGATCAAGGGTGCAGCTCCGGCTCAAGGGCAAAGGAGGTGGGTGGAGCACAGTGGGCTCCAAGACCACAGGTGAGAGATAAAACCAGGAATCGGTGGGCTTGGAATCTTCCAGACCAGGAAATGTGTTCTCCTGTGAGACCAGCTGCTCATGCTACTGTGAGGGGTGAGCTTGATCCTGGGGTAAACGGTCAGGAACCTAACGCAGCTCTCACAGGTGGGGTACCCAGAGAGCCAGAGCCCACTGCTGTGCACTTTGTGTGCCAAGGGCTCTGCCTGCTCCCTGGCACCGCGGGTCAGCTGAGCGGAGTCTGCTGCAGCTGCCAGAGGTCCTTGGCCTGGGCCTTGTGGGGCACAGTAGGGAACAAGGGCTCCAGGATGAAAGCCTCCTCCCTGCGGGGACCAGATATGGCAGGTCAGGTCCCTGAAGAACAAATTGCCAGAGAGAGGAGGCGGAGTCCCTGGACAGCGTGCTGCAGAGGGGAGGAGCCTTTGGGAGCTACACTGAAGATTCTGTTGGACCTTCTCCTCCGTGTGGAGCAATGGGTGAGCTGCTCAGTGACGCTGCAGCCTTCGTTTCCTGTGCTCTGTTATCACAGGAGGCCCACAAGGCCCTCCGCTTAGAGGACGTGAGTGTCTCTTGTGAGCTTCCTCATGTATGTGGTCAGGGAACGCCAGCAAAATAAGATGTGCTCAGGAAGGACACTATGCAGACCTGACTGGGCTGTGATAAAAAGAGCTAAAGGATCAGGGGCCCCTCAGCCCACTCTCCAACCTCAATCTACACAAATGGCCATGGTGATTGGTCAGGGCATGGGGGAGAGACAGGGAGAGACAGGGAGAGAGGAGAGAAACTGCAGGAGCCGAAGGAGTCTGGTCTTGTCCTGAACACAGTGTTTGCTGTTGTAAGTAGGGTGTGAAACAAATTCCTCTGCATTGCAGGAGGACGCGTTTAGGAGATGAGCAGAATGAAAGGAGGACGGATGGTGGAGAGGCCCTCAGGACGCTGCTGTGCGACACGCTGCTCAGGGTGGCTGCACGTTGCACACTGCGGCTGTGGTGAGGTGGGGGAGGAGGAGGCCCAGAGTCTGCCGTGGGGGTGGGGGGGCGTGGGTGGCAGCAGGTGGGGCTGCCTGATGGTGTGCAGTGGAGGAGCCCGTGGGCCCAGCCGCGGCTGTCTGATGTCAGGTGGTGCTGAGAGGGGGCCCCACAGATGTCGGGCCCCAGGATCTGGACCGAGTTCAAGGCAGGAGAGGTCAGGGAGGAATAGACTGGGAATTACCTGACGGGGCAGATGTGAAGCCGGGGCGGAGAGGCCGTCAGCCAGAGCAGGCGTCGCATGGATGGGGAAAGGGGAGCGGGACGCTGTGGGTCGGCAGAGCTCGACAGGTGGGCAGAGGGATGGGCTGGGGGCAAGAAGCAGAGAGGCAAGAGCGGAGCCACAGGAGGAACAGTGAGGCTGAGCGAGTCCATCTGAGAAGTGTGGGAGGCTCTGAAGCAGAGAGTACCGGGGGCTGACGCCACAGTCGTTCAGGTAGACGGCGCCAGGCAGCCGCCTCGGGTTTGCTGATTGGGGCTACGGCTGCGATCGGGTCAGTGCAGGGGCATGGACGGTGGACACGGAGGGTGAGGTGAGCCCGCTGGTGGAGGAAAGTCGTGACAAGGGACCCTTAGTGTCTGCTAAAGGACCGCACGCGGGCTCCCCACTCCTCCCCCGAGCACCCAGCCACCCTTCCTCGCCTGCTTGCCCTGCTTTTCTATCAAACGCGCTGCTGTGGCTGGAACCAGGAGATGCCCGGGCACAGGTGGGGTGGCAGGCCTGGCCACCAATGCCAGGGTGTCTGGTATGTAAAGCGTGGTGAAACCCACACTGTGGGGAAAGAACGGGTCAGGTAGGAGGCAGGGAGGGAGAGCAGTGTAACCTGGCATCTTCAGGCTGCCGAAGAAGGCACAGCAGCAGAGTGACCACGGTGACTGAGTAGTCTTGAAAGGTGGAGCTTAGAGTGCATGAGGCACAAGAGGGAAACTGAGCCAGAGACAAAGCTGGGTGAGTCTGGCTGCTTGGTAAGTGAGGAAAGTCTCTCGGGTTTGAGCAAGACAGAAGAGCTGCCAGAGCGCCTTTTGTTTTTTCCAATACAAGGGACATAAAAGGTTAATGACCTCAGGCCAGACTGGGGGGGGGGGGTGAGAAATGAGAAAATCCTTCCCCATTCCGTGCTAATCAATCTGAGGCTCTCTAATCAGTACTCTTTGATGGTGATGAATAATTTATGTGACCTGTAACTTAGAGACCTGGCCTGCTCATTTCGTTTTTTGCCTCCTCTTCCTGTCATCTGCCATCTTCCTTAAGGAAACAAAGCACGTGTCTCTCTGTCCAGTGTCCTGTCACTCCTGCTGCAGATGGATTCTCCAGCACCTGTTCCACACCGGAAGTCTTAAGTCAGTGCTGGCTCAGAGGTTGGCTTTGGACTAGACAGTCATGTGCTTTCTAAAAAGGACTGGGATTTTGGTCATTGGTACAGAAATGAATAGTGACCAGTGCCCTGCTCTTAGAGGATGGCTCACAGTGAGTGTCCCGTCTCACAGGGAAAGTGTGTGTGGACATCTGGGGCCTGTGACTCGCTTCCCAAGATGCCAGCCCTTAACCACGCAGCCTGTGGGCCACAAGTCAGGACCAGCTGCCAGAAGGACCAGCCCTTGGCAGCCTGGGCCTCGGATGCACGTGCTCTCTGATGTCCAGGGACTTTGGAGGGAGATTGGTGAGGCCTGGCCCAGGGCTGCTGCCCCTGAACAGTGTCCCCAGTGGTGCACAGGGCAGGCTGCTGGCCTCGTGAGGGCTCTTGTCATCCTGGAGTTTGATCTGTCCTTCATTGGCGTGGGCAGCACCTCCCCTCCTGTCTTGGCTGTGAGCTTTGGACAGTTGCTCCCTGTGGGCACAAGGGCTGCTCTGCCAGGGCCTTCTCCTGAGTCACTGTGGGGAGGGAGAGAGGCTGGGAAGCTGGTGGAGAGCGAGGGCGGCCGCCATGTAGAGGGGAAGTGGGATCTGCTACTGTGTGTGACTGGCACCTCAGTCACCGTCCCTAGCTTTCTCATGGTGCTTGGGCACGGGCACCCGCGTGCATGTGAGGGCCTCTTGTACTTAGCCCTGGTCTCAGAGGGCCAGGATGGGGCCCGGCATTTTGCGCTTTTTGAAGCTCCCTCGGGATCCTTGGTGAACCAGGTGGACAGGCTGCCGCACACGGAGCAGAGTTGGTTTTTAACCACGGCCTCTCCTGAGCGTCCTGGAATCGCTCCTCTTCCTCCTGCTCTAGGACGGCACATGCCCTGATCTTGGGTCCAGTGTTCCTGGGCCCAAGCTTGCTGTACCCCGGAGTGTCCTGTGCTGCCCCCCTTGGGTTTCTGCTTTGACCCACCCTGGACTTGCGCTGTGTCACTGTCAGGAGCCCAAGGGACCAGGGCCCCGAGGGCCAATGTTGCTGTTTCTGTGCCTGTTCATTTCCCGGATCCCGGATCCCACTGGCATCAGAGTCTCTCTTTGGGTTTTTGGGTGAGAACTCTCACCACAGAGCTCCCTGATGCTGTGTTTTCTGAGATTTCCCAGTATCCTCTCTTAAAAATACCACGGCAGGTACTTCCCTGGCATTCAGAAATGAAGACCACTTAAAGTAGGCTGTCAAAGGAACCTTGTGACCCTGTGAGGACAGCGCTGGAGCAGCGAGGCCAGGCCACCACTGGGCAGGCGGCGCCCCTCCCTGTGATCGCCCTCTCAGCACCCTTAGTGTGGGACACAGCCAGGGTTGTTCTGCAGAGAGAGAATCTCAAAACTTGGGACATTCAGAGAGTAAGGATTTCACTACAACCAGAACAACTAGGAAAATACTCCCACCGTGTGGGCAGGAATATTAAAATGGCTGCAAGGCCCCATCAGCTCACATGCTAATTGCTTGTCATTTTCATGAAACATTAACTTTGATGAATATTTTGCATGTGAACTTTTTTTTTTTTCTCTTTTGGTACTGGGAATTGAACTCACAACCTTGTGCTTGCCAGGTCCACTGCCTTCAAGAGAAAAAGAAGATTTGGCTCTGAGGATGAAGGTTTTGGGAAGTTGGCTTCCCGAAGTTCAGCAGAAGCAAACAGGATTGAGGGCAGCCCGGCCGGGGCAGACTTGGCTTCTGTCTCGATGCCCCCAAGAGCCTCAGGCCATCGAAAGTGGAGCTTTCGGGATTGCAGGGGTTAGAGCTGACTGGTGTTAGGCAGCAGAGCCTAGTTGCAGAAGACAGGTCACCGGAGGCGTGGTCACCGGAGGCGTGGCCACGCCCTTCCTGCTCCTCGCTCTGCCCTCCCCCCACTTCCTGTCTGCCCTGCGTGAGCAGCCTGCCTGGAGCCAGGACCCAGGCTGGAAACAGGAGAACAAATCGCCCTCTCCTCCTTTTAGTTGCAGGCATTAGTTATTTTGTCACTGCAGAGAGAAAAATGACTAAGACACTCATCTTAGATAATTATCTTCCAGCAAAATAAAGAAGCAAATTTCTGAGCTCTTCACGGAAGAAATTATGTAAATGCATCACAGAAACTAAAAATAGAACAACTTTGATTCTCGCCGGACCACGAGATGGAAGGGAAATCAAATTTATTACCTAATTTCAGTGAGATGTTTGATACGTTGCTTTAAGGGCGGCGCGATGTAACATTGGTGTGCACTCACACTTATGCTCAGGGTTAGGGGACCCCAGACGGTTTGCAGTCTCTAGGCCAGGCTGGGCAACTGCTGATGTCCAAGGAGTACTGGATGTTGGCAGGAAGCTGGGTCTGTGATTGGGGCTGTGGGCCGGAGGCGCAGGTGACAGGAAACAAGGTGAGTCCCCTCTCTGGCCTTGCTTCTCCCAAGTGTCAGGCTTGTTGTAGAAGTTCATAAATTCTCTTCCATCTTTCACATGCTAGGAAACTGTAAACACAAGTATGGGGTTCACAAGACAGCTCCTGGCATGCGTTCTGCCCTCCTTTTCAGTCTGTTTCCCTGCTACATGGGGGTTCTCCAATTTGGGTGTGCAGCAGAACCCGGGGGGCTTTATGGACCCAGATGACCAGCTTCCTCCAGGGGTCCCAGGCTCCACAGGGCTGGAGTTGGCTTGTGGAGCGTGCACTGGCCACCACCCTGGACGTTCACCCGGCTGGTGCCAGGGACACTCCCTGAGAACCACTGACAGTACGCATTCAGTCTTCTCCCTTGGAGAGTGCAGGGGAGGTCAGAAACCAAGTGGCCAGACTTCATCCCGAAGCCTCACTGCTGCTTGCAGCTTCAGGTCACAGAGACAGAGCAGGGGGAGATGGAGGCAAGTAGCTCAGAAACATGTTTGTAACTCAGAAACATGGCTTCCAGAGAGAAGCGAGCTGCCAGGTTACCATCTGTGCCCAAACCACGAGGCTCTTCCTGCTCTCTGTTCTCTCCTGGGACACGGTAAGGGTGCGGGAAGCCAGGGAGGAAACATCAGGGACATTTGGGAACCAGCTGTGCAGCACCTGCTCATACCTGCTCTCCCGGCCCGAGGAGGAAGCCAGAGGCCTCTGTAGAGGAGCCCAGAGCAGAGTGAGGACTGGTTTCCCCTGCGAACCTTCACATCTGACATCAGATGCTGCCGCCTCATCTGAAAACCCTGTCCACCATGGAGCTGCTATCGGCTATCCCCAGCCAAAGCGACACCGTCTGGGCGTCTCACAGACTATGAAGCAGAGAGCTCTGTGACTTTAGAATTGGTCTCTGCACCTCCATCTGCTATAGACAGCCAGCTGTCTCCAAGGCTTGGGGAGGGCGTGACAACCAGCCTGCCCCACCGAACTTGTGCTGACTGCTAAAGGGACATATTTTTAAAAATCAGAATTTTGCTTTCTTTCAAAATTGGAAAATTTTTTTGAGGACAACCAGCTTGAGTTTTTCTTTGCAAATAGCTATGGCTGGCATTTCACTTGTCGTGGGCTGGGTGCCGTCTTAGGGTTGAGCTAAGGAGAGCTGCTGCAGCCGGGCTCACTTGTAGGTGAAGAGAACGAAGCAGGAGGGAAGTGGATGAGCCACTGCCTGGCGACTGGGGGAGGCTGGATCCGGGCTGCCACACACCAGGCCCAAGCCTGGCCTGCTCGGTGCTTCCTGAAAGTGTTCCCAGCTTCCGGCCTTTAGAAGAAGAGCCCAGCTCATCCGTGTCAATGTATACAGTAACCCTAAGAATGGATGACTGCGGGGCATATGGGCATCGGAACGGTTTGTTTCTGTAGATATCAGTAGATAGCAGTCATGTGTGTGGTGCTAGACCAGGCTTTGGGGGCTAAGGACAGGCTTGACCCCTCTCTTTCTGGGCCCTACAGGAGGAGCTTTGGGAGAAACCGGTGACCTGTGTCTGCTCTCCGTGGTGACCTAACTGGGTGCACGGGCTGGACCTGCCCAAAGTTTTTGCACTGTGACATTATTCACAGAGGCAGAAGTTTTTTCTTATGTTCTTGAGCAGTTTTGAAGGTGGAAGTCTATGAGAGGTGTTCCTGACTGGTTTCTCTCTTTCAAGACACGGATGGGAGTTGCAGTCACGGCAGGGGATGTGTGAGTGTGACCTGGGCCATCGGATGCCCCTGAGCCACATCACCTGATCTGACCCATAAAGTGCTTCCAGGTGGTGATAGGCATATTCCCTGGATAAATGCTGAAAGGAACTTCTGATCAGAAAGGACAAGGACCCTCTTATTTATCCTCTGAATAAGCTTTTTTTTTTTTTTTTTAAATCAATACCAGGGATCAAACTCACAACCCAACCGCAGGCTTGCAAGGCAGGCACTTATGCCGCTGAGCTAAATTGCCAGCCCCTTTGTTCTCTGAATAAGAATGTGGAGCTCGTATTGGGAAAGTTAGTGATGTGAGAGCAGAGGGTGGGAGGTGAGCAGCAGACCAGGAATACCTCTGGAGTGCTGATTAGCAAGCCCTTGAGAGTCACACCCATGTCGCCTCCTCCTCCTCCAACCGCCCCGCACTTACAGGAGAGCACTGCTTACAGTGAAGGCTCCCCAGGTGTCCTACAGTGGCCACTCTCCCAGCTTCCATGTGGCCTGTGGCTCTCAGGGATGCTTCCCCTTTGGCCACAGAGCACACGTGTAACATCTCTTTCCAGAAGCTACACATGTTGTCCACGATCACCCTGGCTACGTTACTCTGGATAAATGCCCTGTAACTTCTCCCCATGGAGGGGCAGCAGGTAAAATGCAGGACACCCAGTGGTGCCTGCAGCAGCATACTGATGTGAAAAATGACTTCTTCATTCACCTGATCTTCAGGTTTATCTGAGAGGCTCATTTTTATTTGCTTAATCTTGCAGCTGTACCACCAAAGCTTAGTTTTCCAACTTCAACCTCAGAATCGTTTGTAGTGCACGGTTCCTCTTCTTGGGAGTGTTGGGGGAAATCAAGAAGCTTGTGCATTCCCTGCCCCTCGGGGTGCCTGGGATCCTTCGGTCACAGCAGGGCGTGGGTGGTGACAGGGATGTGCCTTGAATCCGGGCGGGGCGCCCTGCATGTCTGCATGCCCCAGGTCTGCTTTCAGGGCTCTTCCTTGGTGGCCCAGAGATTGCTGTTGGCCTTAATGTGGCTTCCCATCTCTGACGTGTATTGTGCGACACTTTGGTCTTCCCATTTGGGAACAGAAGACGTGCGCTGACATTTGCCAGCCTAAAAGAGGGCAGATCCTGGGCCTGGGTGCCTAGGCTCAGGGTGGCTCACTTTGGGGGTGTGCTGTAGTTTGCATCCTGGACGCACCCTGAGGACCACGAGTTCAAGGCTCCACACCGGGGCTTCTTTACTGGGTGGGGCTGGAGGTGGGGCCAGGAGGTCCCTGGGGGTGTGTCCTTGAGGGGGACAGGGAGCTCCTGGCTTCTTCCACTTCCTTTCTTTTCACTTCCTGGCCATGAGGTCAATGCTGCCTTCTCTTTTTTTTAAATATATTTTTAAAAAATTTTATTTAAAGAAAGACTAAACAAAACAGAAAATGGGTAGAAATAATACATACATTCAAAGAAAAAATAAACAGTAAGAAATCACTACTTGATGTTTACATACTGTCCTCTTACAAATAGTTGTTCAGGATACAAAAGTGGAACATATAAAGTGGGAATTCAGACAAGACTGCAACCAGTTCTGTTCAACTATCCAACAAAAAGTTAGTGATAGTTATCAATCCTATACACTTAAACATACATGCAGTTATCCATATCTTCATTTATGTTGAGATTGAACAAACTAAAACAGGCTAAAATCATTCTGAACAAAAAATAATAGTATTGCTGGATTTCACATCATGATATTCTGGGATCAGCACTGGGTACTGTAGTGTCTTTTTAAAAAAATTTTTATTTAAAGAAAGACTAAACAAAACAGAAAATGGGTAGAAATAATACATACTTTTAAAGAAAAAAATAAACAATGAGAAGTCACTACTTGATGATTATAGATTGTCCTCTTACAAATAGTTATTCAAGATACTAAAGTGGAGCATATAAAGTGGGGATTCAAACAGTGAGACTGCAACCAGTTCTATTCAACTATCCAGCAAAAACTTAGAAATAAGGTTATCAATCCTACACACTTTTTTTTTTTTTTGTCTTTTTCTTTTTTTTATCGGTACCGGGGATCGAACTCACGACTGCCTGCTTTCAAGGCAGGCGCTTATGCCGCTGAGCTAAACCCCCAGCCCCTAATCCTATACACTTAAACATACATGCCGTTATCCATATCTTCAATTATGTTGAGATTGAACAAACCCAAGCAGTCTAATATCACTCTGAACAAAGAATAATACTATTGCCTGGTGTCACATTATGACACTCCAGGATCAGCACTGGGTACTTTAGTGTCTCTTTTTCTTCAAAGTATCTGTTCATTTCATCATGTGTCATAAGACCAGTTCTCATAAACTGTTTATAGATTCTACACATGCATGAGTCTTAACATGTATTTCTATCCTTTCTATATTGGAGAAACAAAACAAAGCAAGACAAAACAAAACATATTCCTATAAACATATGAAATGAAAAAGACGTATAAGACTGTTGTACAAGGAGTTCTACCATAGTTCCTGTGTTGTCTCTTGTTATCTTCAATAGAATTGGCTATATCATCAGACATAGTATAATTGAATATATCAGTACATAACAGTATTAATAAAAACACAACTTTGTATGTAGTATAAAACTTCAAAAATAGGCAGTAATCAAACCAGAATGTGTATCTGTGAGTCTTGTCATCTTCAGTGTAGTTACCTACACTCTCAGACTTGATACTATCTATCATATCAGTTTTGAATAAAATCTGTCGATACCAAACAGCAATCAAACAAACCAGAATTAACTAAGATCAGTCATGATAAAACAGTATAAGTCATACAGGGCTCCAGATTAAGTTAATAGGAAATTAAAGATGATTACTGTGCTATATCCCTTTATTTTTGGGATAGCTGTCTGTGCCCTCAAATCTAATGCAAGTAGACAAACTGGGACAGAATAAAATTTATCTAAGCAGAGTGGTGTGAGTAATATGGGTTTTAAATCCTAATACACTATTAACAATATCTTCTGCCATCTTTTTTAAGACTATCCCTCCCC